GGTTGTGACCTGCCTTGTGAGTAGAGGGCTGTTAACATAGAGTGAACTGAAGCTGCCAAACAGTCAAATAGTGACATTTTTGGGGGCATGGCTTTTAGAGAGATCCAAACCCATGCTTCTTGTGGCTGCTAGGCTGCTGGTTTTCATAATTACTGTAGTTGTAAGACTGATAGTTTACAAAGCTACTTCAGAGCTGGAGAAAGTGTGATAAAATTAGGCAAGGTAAAATGCCACAATTCTTGAGATTCAACTGTTTTTCTTGAATAAATACTCCTCAGACTGCTGCAAGTCGTTAATCTCCAGAGTTCTGAAAAATCTGATTTTGACAGTTTTTGCCAGGATTCTTGTTGCTTTTAAGGAACGGAGTATCAGAAGTCCCCACTCTGCTCTAGAAGTGAGATCTCAAAAATGTATAAGTTGGATGAGGATGTCATTTTTACACATGGTGACGATATCTGATTGGTGACATCTTGGTTATAAGGTTTCCTGTGCTGGTGGGCAGTAGTAAACTATTTCTCTAGGTCACTTAAAGATCTCTGGAGATCCTTGGAACACAGCATTTAAACCACATGTGGCTTCCCTTGGACAGGCTACAGCTCTCTGAGAGCCTAGTGTCTGTGTTACAGCATCAAGTCTTGTCTACGAAATAGTGGCAATTGTGCTGCTGTCTCACATACATTTAGCCACTCTTTATTTTGCAATTATTTTCAAGTCATACCAAGTGTCGCATGCAGGGACTCTACCCCCTAATTCTAACAGTCTACAGCAACACTGCATTTCTGATCTGAGAGTACATCTGTACCCTTGGGTTACTTTACAGCATCCCTTTTTTGTCATCTTTAGGATGAGTTGGTGGCCCGTATAGAGGAACTTGCCCTTTTTTGGATAGGCTCAGTTATCAGTGACTAAATGAGCCTTCTCTAAGTGAAAACTTACTTGGGACTCTCTAAACCCACAGGGGGTGAATATCCACTATGATTTATTTTTTAAAAGCCTTGATTTTAAGGGCATGAAAGGTTTCTTTGAAAAGCATGTGGCTTGGTTGTTGTTCTTATTGTTCCTAATGGGGTATTGTATTGAGACTGTACTTTTCAAAATCAACACACTAAAAAGGATGAGACCTATCTCTCTACATTTAGAGGAGCCTTTACAATGCCCAGAAAATCATTTAGGACCATTTAAAATCATGGGTCCATTTGCTGTGACTTAAGATTTAAATGCACTCTTCTCTTGGGAGCATGCCCAGGCCTCTCAGTCCTTCACTTCTTCCCCAAGGCCATCACCTTTCCCTCTCCTAAGCTCCAAGCTTCCCTCCTTTTGCTTCTGTCACTTGTTTCCTGAGCCTACACAGCCCAGCTGGCTCACTTCTACTCCCTCTGTAACTTTCTAAATAAACTCTTTATTATAATTTGAAAAAACAAAAAAAACAGTTTATATAGAAATTTAATTGACCATCTGAAAAATGTTGCAGCCCTTTTTTATTTTTGGACGTAAATGTTTCTTTAATTCTGTACTTATAATGATGGTACAGATATAGATATAATTGCCCTAAATAAGTTATTAATTTTTGGATACTTCTTGTTTTATAAAGTTTAGCAATAAACACTTTAGTTTTAAGGGGAATTTATGCTAGAACCATTTACTCCTAAATTGAATCTCTTCCCTCTGATGTAAATTATCATAGTTGAATTAATAACACTGTGATATTCTGTCACTGAGTAGGTTCTGTTTAACCATTTTCCAGGAAGAGTTGTATGATTTGTTTTTAGTGTATTGTTTAAAAACATTTTTAACATTTTAGCTCAGTATAACTAGTTTTGGTCTTAATAAATATAAACATTTAAGTATTACAGTTCTGCTTATTAGCAGAGAGATGTTAATTGCATGGTCTCTGTACATATTATTGCAGTATCTGGCTTTATGATATTTAAACATTGTGAATTAGATTTTATCTTTTGCCCTCTTTATACCAAAAGTCAGGAAATCCAGGAGAAGTCTGGATTGAAGTTATTTTTGTATGCAAGCATAAGTATGATATAGTAATAAAAACCAGTGCAGCTTAATTTTGTCTCTGTCTATGTCGTTTTGCTCTCAGGAAGAGGCAGTGCTCTCGTGCCTACCCTGCTTCCTGTGTTCTAGCACATTTGCTTTATGACTCTAATAAAAGCTTTAAATTTTCTTTACCCCACTGAAATATATAAAAGTAAGAATATGTATTGAATTCTGAAAAAAACTCTTATATTCCCTACCTCTACATATTTGAGTTAAATACAGTCTTATTTGGGCTCCTTTAAATGGAATTATTTTTGTGAGACAGAAAGACTTTGGGTTTGGCAATACAGAATATAAATCAGGTGAATTGCCTAAAATTGATTAAAGTTAAAAATATATAATCCTTTTCTCAGTAATAAGGTGATATTAAATAAATCTCTGTATTTTACACTGTGCGTCATTCAGTCTCCAATTAACATTTTGTTGCTTTATCCATTGATTTTTTTTATTAAAGACATTATTTTTTAGAGCAGTTTAAGATTTACAATAAAATTAAGAGGAAAATACAGAGATTTCCCATCTATCCTGTTCCTCCCACACATGTATAACCCCCCCATTTTCAACATAACTCACTAAAATAGTTTGTTTGTTTATTTTTACCAAGAATGAACCTACATTGATACAGCGTTATCGACCAAAGTCCATAGTTTACCTGAGAGTTCACTTTTTTTGTTGTTATTAATCCTCACCAGAGGATATTTTTTCCTTTTTTTTTTTTTTAAGAGGGGTGAGGAGAAACATTGATGTGAGAGAAACACATTGATTGGTTGCCTCCTGCACACTCCCCCAGTCAGGGGATTGAGCCCATGACTCTCCAGTGTTCGGGCTGATGCTCTATCCACTAAGCCACACTGGCCAGGGCCGAGAGTTCACTTTTAAATGGCTTTGGATAAATGATTAATGACATGGTCTATCATTACAGTAGCTCAGAAAAGTGTTTCACTGCCTAAAAATCCGTGTTCCTCCTAGTCATCTCTCCCCCACCTGCCACCCCTGGCAGCCACTGATCTTTCTGTTGTCTCCACATTTTCCAGAATCTTTATTTTTTTAAAAAAAAATCTCTATGTTTTTTAAATAAAGTTCGTAGAAAGCCAAAAATTAATAGAGGGTCAGTTTGGCTGTTAGGAAGCTTAGGGGACACGTTTCCTCCAGTTCCAAACTTCAAAGTTCATTTTAGGTGGACTGAAAATTTGTTTCCAGCAAGAGAGATGGGAGTTAACATTTGTGTTAACATGTATTTCTATTTGTTTCCCTCAGACACAGACAGCAATTCTGATGATTCTGGGAATCCATTGGCAACCAGGTTTACAACATACAGCTCTGTCAACCAGGCTGTCACTGTCCAGCCACCTGTGGAAATGGCCTCCTTAGGAAACGACAACGGAAGCCTTTTAGACGATCCCTTAAACTCGCCCAAGTATCAGCATATTTCTTTTATGCCAACTTTACACTGTGTCATGCACCACGTTGCCCAGAAGTCTGAAGTTGTCGTTCCTCCCCCCAAATCTGCTGATGGCAAAACAATAGGCATGCTTGTTCCGAGCCCTGTTGCTATTTCTGCAATTAGGGAGTCCACCAGTGCGACCCCTGTTGGGATATTAGGACCGGCAGCTGCTGCTGGTGAATCAGAAAAGCACCTGGAACTGCTGGCTTCCCCTCTGCCTCTTCCGTCAGCGTTCCTTCCTCATAGCAGTACTCCTGCTTTGCACCTAACGATTCAGAGGCTGAAGCTGCCACCGCCACAGGGATCTTCCGAGAGCTGCCCATTGAACGTCCCTCAGCAGCCAGCTGGGAGTCTGAGCATCGGATCACCAAACACAGCCTTCATTCCTGTCCATAATCCGGGCAGTTTCCCAGGATCTCTTGGTGCTGCCACGGACCCCATCACCAAATCTGCATCCCAAGTGGTAGGACTCAATCAAATGGTGCCTCAAATTGAGGGAAACACAGGGACAGTCCCTCAGCCTACCAATGTGAAGGTAGTTCTTTCAGCAGCTGGCCTCTCAGCTGCACAGCCACCAGCTCCCTACACCCTCCCGGGCTCTCCCATCGCTGCCAGTGTGTTAGCCAGCCAGAATTCCAGTGTGCTCAGCACAGTGTCCACCTCCACCCAGTCCGCGGGAGCCGGCATGAGTCAGGCCCAGTCTGCAGTCCCTCCTGTGGTTCCTACCCACACCCCAGGCCCCGCCCCCAGCCCAAGCCCTGCTCTGACACACAGTACTGCACAGAGCGACAGCACCTCTTACATCAGTGCCGTGGGAAACACGAACGCTAATGGGACAGTGTTGCCGCCGCAGCAGGTGGGCTCAGGTCCTTGTGGTTCTTGTGGGCGAAGGTGCAGCTGTGGGACCAATGGAAACCTTCAGCTAAATAGTTACTATTATCCTAACCCAATGCCAGGACCGGTGTACCGACTCCCGTTCTTCCCTCTGCCATCCCTATGCAATGGCAGCTACCTCAACCAAGCACATCAGAGCAATGGAAACCAACTTCCTTTCTTTCTGCCTCCGACACCATATGCAAATGGACTGGTGCATGACCCCGTCATGGGGAACCAAGCCAGCTATGGCCTGCAGCAGGTGGCAGGATTTGGGAGATACTATCCTGTATATGCAGCACCCAGTGTAGTTGCCAACACGAGTGGTTCGGGGCCCAAGAAGAATGGGAGTGTTTCATGTTACAACTGTGGTGTAAGCGGACACTTTGCACAGGAGTGTAAGCAGTCGTCCATGGAGGCCAGTCAACAAGGTAATCATGAGAGCTCCCAGAGGACTTGCTTTTAGTGTGCTGGTGTCTCCCCACCTTACTGGTCACGGGGATCCTGTTGAAAGTCGTCATTGTGTGTGTGTTTACGGATGTGATGAGTTGTAAAGTGCAGACAGCAGAGCCTAGTGTAGATCCAGGTCATACAGCACCAGGAAGTTCAAAGCAGTTCAGTTCCCAAGCAAGAAACCAAAAAGGCACTTTTTAAAGAATATAACAGGAATTTGCCAATGTGTCATATCTCTGGTTTGCAGCACTTTTTTTAAAGCTACAATCCTCTTTCATAAAGTAAGCAAATTTTTAAATATTAGAAAACTGGGATGAAATAGAGTCATCTGCCATGTAAGATTTGTAGTTGTTATTTTAGTATAGCTGCATAGCTAGCCAGTCTGTGCTCAGTGTATTGCCCATGCTCTTTTCCTGCCCAGTAGCTGTTTTAAATAAAATGCTATTGCATTTTAAGGAGCAAAATATTTTAAGCATTGGTTTGGGAGTAAGGGAATTCGAACTAAATTGAATATTATTACCACTAAAAAACTAAGAAAATGTTCTTAAATAAGTATGAGTAAAATGCAAATTCCATATATACCTCAAACCCTTATCTTTCACTTGCATTTGGCTTTTGTCACTTTTCCAGACATCACCCAGTAATAGAGTCTTGAATTGGGAGTATATACTTGGCATTTTTAAAGGAAGCTGAAGTTTGATAGCTTTAGGTAGAACTTAGAGCACAAACTTTATATTACTTTTAGAAAGTCATTTTATTGACCGTCTTGGAATCGTGGTAGTGCGGAAGATGCCTCCTGCCGAGGATGCCCGTTTGATAGCTTGTAGTGGTTGTGATGCATTGCGTTGTGAGCAGTGACTTAGCAGTTCTCTTTCCTGTTTTAGGCACTTACAGACTGAGATACGCACCTCCCCTCCCCCCTTCTAATGACACGTTGGACTCTGCAGACTGAACCGAGTAAAGCTTGCCTACCTACCTAACACACTGAAGTGTGGGGAGTCATGGTGGGGTGTGGAGGGGAGGAAAGGAAAGGTATTCTGTTTGTGTTTTTTTGTCTGTACATTTCTGAGATGTCTACACAGTTGGGGTTTTTCGTTTCTCCTGTACTGATGTCCAAAACAAAAAAAAAGAATGCATTGCTTTTGAGCCTCTGGTCTCCTGGTTCAACAACAGGCTTATATGTATGATTCATGTTAAACATCCAAACAAACTATCAAAAGGAAAATGGATGCGTGGTTTTTTCTTTACACTGAATCCTTGCTGTGTGTAATGTTTACTGAATTTCTAAAACTGTGTATCTGACCTTTTTTTTTACAACACTAGTGACAGTTGTATGGTTTTGAAAAAAATACTTTGCTTCTTCCCCAGCTTTTCTCACTTTCATCCTAAAGTACACCTTTCTCCCCCCAACCCCCGTGTTCCAGTGGCACGCTGCATGGGGCAGACGGTGCTTTGGCCCACACTTCTGTAAACTGCTCTACACATGAATTGAGGGTAAACTGTTTCACTTTCATCATAAGGGAGAAAACAGATTCCCCAAGTAGGCAGTATACTTGTAATAAACAGCACCACATAAATACATACATGCAGCACTTGTTTTCCAAATAAAAGTTAAAATAAGTGGAAGAAGTGAAACCATATGAAACTGAAAAAATATGATGTATGAAGTGGACAAAGAGCTTTTTCTTACAAATAAACAACTTTTTACTTCATCATACTTTTGTAGCCTGTTGCTCAGAGAGACATAAAGTGAACAAACTAGTGTGAATACTGTCCTCCGTGTTTGTGTTGGCAATGGCAGTCGACAGACTATTTTACTTGTAGTCTACCATTGTGTCCTGCTGAGACACTACCTGAGCGAAGATCTCTCCTTTTCCTACACCAACTGTTACAGTGTTCTGTTGTGTTGACATGTGTATGGTTTATTGCAGTCTGAACAGAAGCTCTGCATTTCTGCAAAAGTCAGGTATTTGTTCCTAATCTGTCTCTTGTAGCAAAGTCACTTTTATACCAGTTTACCACTGTGCTTGATTATAATGTGAAAGACTGAATTTGGAGTGTGTTAAGATGGTATTAATCATGTCAGTGTCATGTCACTAAGTTTAATGCTGCTGTTTAAAAAAAAAAGATTTTTTTTAAAAGCCAATCTCTGTACTAAACTGCTTCCAGGTAATTTTTGATTTCCTAAAGTGCACTGAGGTTATCTGGAGATTGGGTGTGTTTGTGGACTGCTGCATTCAACGGCAATGAGCACCTGCCGCTGTATGGTCATGAGTAAGGGGTTTGGGTCTGTTCCTGTCCCTCAGCACAGAGCAGACACAAAAGGCTTCTGTTGTGCAAGGCAACATTGGTGTGAAGGAAGGAACCTGGTCTTGCTTCAGAAGCCTAACAGATTGCTAGACAAGAGGAAAAACTTGAAGAAAAAGAAGTTTCATCCAATGCTTCCTGGATATCATTTCTATTTATAGCACCAATGTACATTTTGAAACTTTATTTCAGGGGTAGGGATTAAAGGGGGAGGGACGGGTGTGAAGGGATAGATGAAAGCTTTAATTTAAAAAAAAGGAAAAGTTTGAGTAAAGGAAATTATTTTGATTAATTATATTTTATTTGATCTGGGTATTTTTGGACCACATTATTAAATTAATTGTTAAGCTACAGTTGAGTTGTTCAAGTGAGAGTTTTGATAAGCCACATATGGACCGCGTTGTGAATCACTCGCCAGTTGTACTTTATGGAGCTTATTTTATGATTTTAAATACTGTACTGTACATAGGAGGTGTGTTGCCTTCTCCTTATTTGTATGTTTACCATATACTTTGATATTTGAAATGTTATGTACTGGAAAGGCCACTTATATTTCTAGAACAGATTGGATTTTATGCAACCTTTTTTCCTTGAATTAACAGCAATAAAAAAATGAAAAGCAGCTTAAGAATTGTGCTTTATTACCAATTTTGTAAAAGTGAAAGATAGGAGAACATCATGCATTATAATTTTTTTCTTTTTAAAGAATCAACCCGCTATTTCCCTGCAAGGTGGGCAGTGAATCCCAAGTTATTTACCACCCGTACTTTCTTCAGTATCCCCCAAGCAGCCTGGCTCTGTCGTTGCCTGTGTGACCACTAAAGGAAGAGACTGCGTTTCTGTGCTGACCATGCACAGTGTGCTACGTGGTGGCCAGGACAGAGTCCTTGTCTCTCTGGAGCTATGCCCCTGGCTCAAGCCTTCTCACTGAGAGTGTAGAGGACCTCATTTGCTTTCTCAGATTTACTAATTTGATTGTGTTTTCCTGGCAGCTCTCTTGGTACAGTACTGAATATCTTTATTTCATTGGTCACGTCTTCTATAATCCAGTCTCAGGTCTGTTTTTATACACTCAATAATTTATGAGATATTATGGGGAGCACTGCAAGCATCTGTAAATCATTCATGTCCCCTGGCAATGACTGATGTCGCTCAGCCCAGGCCCCTCAGGTTGTTCCTCAGGATATGCTTGTCTGGAGCCATCTAGCATACGTCACCTCTGTCCCCAGTGGGCAGGGGTTTGATGGCTTGCAGTGCACCAACTTTCCCCTATAGGCAGCAAGTGTGTACCTAGGAGTAACCTATAAAGTTAGGAACCACCTCTAAGTTAACGCACAGGTCTCCTACAGCAGCAGTCACCAACCTTTCGGACCTCACGGACCACCAGTGGTCCGTGGACCACCAGTTGGCGACTGCTGGTCCAAAGGTTTTCTTAAACCAGCGGTTGCCAACCTTTCGGACCTCACAGGTCCTGATTGGATTGGTTGTCCTACAGTGTTACCTGTGTCCCATCCCTTCCCCCTCCTTTCCACACTGCAGAAGATGACCATTACTATAAATTTTATACTTCCCACATTTTACATCCTCCTCCCTTAAATATGTTGGGTTTTATAGGGTGCCCTGGGGTTCTGTGACTGTCTCAGCTCATCTGATTTTACAGTCCTGACATTGGATTCCTGCAGTGCAGCCATTTTTCCTAACTTTACAATGTTCTGTTGCATGGTGGGGGGTATAAATATATATATTGTAATATGTGCCATACCGCTTTCCAAAAGGTTTTCACTCACACCAGTGGTGGACTGGTCCCTCAGTCCAGCACTGGACACTCTCCCAAAATGATACAGTGATAGTGCCTAGAAGGCTGGCAAGGGAGGACACAGTGTGACCTGCATGCATTTGTATCAGGCTCCGAGGAGCAGGTGAGTGTGCAGAGCCTAACAGTACGGGCAGGTTTAGGGGTTGCTGTGTGTGTGTGTGTGTGTGTGTGTGTGTGTCTGTGTTGCACTCTTGGGAGAATGTAAAGAAGAGAAGGCACAGACTAGAAGTGGCAGAATTGTGTCATTGGGAGGTGGGAAGAGGAGACGGCAATTGTAGTCAAGGGAACAGTTTTTAAATGTATTTTTTAATTGATTTCAGAGAAGGGAAGAAGAGAGAGAGACATTGATGGGAGAAACATCACTGAGCTGCTTCCTGCACGCCCTGTACTGGGGGTGGAGCTGGAAACCCAGGCATGGACCTGGACTCATCCTCCTGGTGATGGGACGATGCTCAGCCAACTGAGCCTCACAGGCTGGGCTCAAGGGAACATTTTGAAGGAGTTAAGAGATTTATGATTCAACAGAACAGACTTAGACTGGAGATTTTGCAGTTGACTGACTGAAAAAATGGGAGTTAGACAAGTTTTAAATAGAGGAAAAATATGCTGATAGTAGTTTTTAAGGAAACTGGTGGATGGCTGAGCTTAAAGAAAGCCTGGAAGTTCAGAGGCTGGTTAGGATGAGGCAGCCAGGAAGGAAGGGGAGATGGAAGAGACAAGTGGAAAGAAACTTGAGCTTCTGAACTTCATGTTTTCATAAATATAAAATGTGATTGTTTATTTTAAATTATGGCTATGAAGGTAGAATGAAATAATAAATGGGAAAGGTCCAACTTAACGAATGAAAAACCAACAGGCCCAGCCAGTGTGGTGCAGTGGGTAAGTGTCCACCCATGAACCAGGTCGCGGTTTGATGCCTGGTCAGGGCACATGACCCAGGCTCGCTCCTCAGCGGGTGTGTAGAAGGCATCTGATCTGTGATTCTCATTGATGTTTCTCTCTCTCTCCCCCTCTCTTTGAAATCAATAAAAATATATTTTTTAAAAAAGAAAAAGCACCAGGAAGGCACTCAAATGTTAGTTGAATTAAATTTTGATGATTCTGCACCCCTAAACCTGCCCGTTTTGAGGACTGTGATTCTGGTTCAAGAGACAGCACATGTGGAAGAGGATTAGGCCTGAGAGTGAAGGCGGTGGTTCTCTGGGTGGTGAGGAAACTAGCAATCGGTTCTTTGGTATATTAAGGTGGATTATTACAGCCCTTCCCACTGAAAAAAGAACATATCCCTGGTCCTCAGAAATTAAGTCTAGTTGGAGAGCTTCCCAATTAATGGCAGCGATGCGCTATCTATACATGGGCTCAGTCCCGCAGTCCTGATTTTTCAGTATTAAAATAGAATAAGCTCATTACAAGGCAAACCCACGTTTAATGTTTTATGTAAGTGCTAAATACCAATCTTTTTGGAGACAGTTCTAAAAACATTAAAGCACCGTGTAAAATTAATATTTCATTTTTTTTAACAGGTAGCATCTAGCACTCATGAGCATCATCCATTTGAGCTTGGAAGACACCTCTTTTCCATTCTCCATACTGATCACAAAAGGTTCAGGCAGTGAAACCAGATGGAGGCAAGCCGAGATTTTGATAGTTCAGCCCCATAACCTTCCTATCCTTTTATCTCAAGAAAAAATGCTGACTTCCTCCACCCTGTCCACCTCCAAAAGGACGCATTTATTTTTAGAGACAGGAGCTGAGGTGGGGGAAGCAGTCAGAGAGGGGGTGCTCTGACTTCAAACCCCGTCGTCGCTGCACTCCAGACCTTCCTTCTCTGGGGTGGGAGTTGGAGGGCAGCTGTTAGAGAAGGAAGGGCCCTGGGTTCCGACAGGAATAGGCAGGTCTGAGCCCAGGCAGCACCCTCGACCCTCACATGACCGTCCTTTCTCAGCACGTTGGATTCTTAAGGTCGACCTCACATCATCCCTCTTGTGAAAAACGTGAGCCCTCTCTAGACACAGTGCTCGAACTCTGTGCAAATGTCTGTCCATCTTGGAAGCAGGGGCTTTAGGCTTCCTTCCTCTCTCCTGCCCTGGAAAGAGGCACATTACAGTGTGGGCATCAAAGACCCTTCCTGCAGCCACAACTCCTCTGCAGCGACTGCAGGCCTCAGTCACCAGCACTCTTAATCTGGAGATCCTGTTTTGCTACTGAAATCTAGGGGCAGGGGTGGAGCGAGGTGCCCCGCCTGGGTTGTTGTTCATCGTGTTTCTTTTTTCCTCTTAACAGCTCCAACTTACTCTTCATCCGCTGTGAAAGGTCTCAGCCAGCCTCGCGCCAAAAGAAATTGCTAATTGGGAAGCAGCGCCACCTCGTGGGGGACAAGGACAGTGCACGCAAGCCGATGCTATTTCCCACTGACCTAATTTAGAGAAAATTGAGCGTAGGACAGAAAACATTTGAGATTGTAATCCTGTGCCCAGAGCTTTCAAGAGTGCAGGCAGATGGCCATAAAGGCCATCTGAGCAGTCTCCTCTTTGAGCCATTGCGATCTAAGTTTGTTATAAACATCTTAAACGCATCAGTGGTACTTTGCACTTTTTCTCTGTGGTCATTGGTTAGCACAACTGTGAAGGGTACTGGGTCTTCCTTCTCCCTATTGTACAGAGTAGAAATTCAGGGTGCAGAGGGGAAAAGTGCCACAGACATGCCAGTGATGAAAGCCAGGCCCCAACCTTAGGCTAATGCTTACCTCCCCAACTGCTTCCTGCTCCCAAGCACTTCTCAGCAGAATGGAGGACAATGACTTTTTAAAACCATATAAAGCAATAGGGACTGATGATCTTAACACCATGCGGCCCCTGGATTCCTGAGACAGGACTGGGCTAGGTCCTCGGTCAGAACGTCCCTTTTCTGTGTCTCTGTTGAAGGGTTTGGCGATGGGGGGGAAGGAACCTTCCCAGAGGTGGGAACCTCGGGGCTCTTAGAACCAGACTTTAAGCATGTGCCTGTCTCAGATAAACTCAAGGAGCAGCCGCTCTCACCTACTTGCAAGGTTACAGGGATAAACGCATGCATACCCCCTGCTGGGACACCGAGTTTTGCTGTGCACAGGTTTTTATTACCCCCTCGGTGTCTTGATAAATTGAGCCTTAAGTGAATATTTCATTAGTTTTAAGACTTCGGAAAGTAAGAAATAAAGTAGTAGGGCAAGCAGAACAGACACATAACTGCAATGTTTAAAGCTCTGACATCTGCCTAAAGATTGTCCCTCTACCAGCCACCATTACACATAACACTCCAAAGGCCAAGAATGACAGCCTTTGTCTTTAGACAGGACCAGTGGTAGTCACACCCACACTAAAATGAATGCCAAGAATGCTGCCAGGTTGCCAGGAGTTACTTAGTGTGAATTCTTGCTCGGGTATCAGGGTTGGGTCATGTGTGCAACATGGTAACTCAGTGGTACATTGGACACCGTCATCAAATGAGTTTGCAAAGGAGGTGGCATCGATCAGGGCTCTGTTCTCAGCACCTACCTACTGTACACATGACCTTTCTCAGGCTTCCTACAGAACGGGGACACCATTCATTCTGTAGGTTAGTGATGGCTTAGATTTGGCAAAATATATACTCGGTGTCGAGCGCATAGCACGTGCCCAATAAATTCTTATGGAAGCAAACACCTTAATGCCCTGTAGAGGCCAGACGCTATTAGCTCCTTTCAGCCTCACGACAGCCCGAGGAGGTCTGTACGCTGCCCCATGTTACTGTGGAGGAAGTAAGTGTTCAAGGACGCAGAGCAATTAAGG